GAAGTTAATATGGTAATGAAGACGATCAATTATCACTCACAGCAAAGTCATTAACAACAGCATTAGCATAGTCAACCATCACAACCTCCTGACCTCCCCTGCTCTCCCTTTCTCAGTCTCACTCCCGCTCTCCCTCCACGCAGCTGCTACACAAGCAAAAGTATGAGTGTGTGTATGTATGTGCGTGTGTGTGTGTGTGTGAGAGAGAGAAACAGAGGGGGGAGATAAAGGTCATACAGTTCAGAGACTGTTTTTAATGCAGACCTGAATTGAGTTTCCACCTTCTTTCATTGACTTGAGCAGAGCCGTCACTACTACACAGGGTCAGACAGCTTTGGAGCAAACTGCTGCCAAAACATGAATGGTATACTCGTAGCCAGCCTAATTATGTTCTTCATCAGTTATAGAAAATAAAATACACCAATAATGCTTTCAGAATTAACCTTACTAAATTGCTGGGAAAATGTATTAATATACATGTGTGTCACTGCTGTGACATGGAAACAGATTGAATCATCTAAATACATCTGTGCAGTATTTGTCGTTTAGAAGCTAACCAACTGTGTGAATTCAAATAGTTGAGGTCAAAAAGAGATCTGAAAAGAGGCCTGTTTTGTTAATTCCAGAAAAGTTCCCCTGTTAGTAATGAAGAAGGTTCCATTCAACAGCTATGCTATAACTTAAAAACTTCTTTTATGTACTGTTTGGTTGAACTACAGTCAGGAAAGCAAAATGGGTGTTAAGAGTGCTACTATGGAGGGTGCTCCACATGACAGGAAAAATGATGTTCTCATTAGCATGGATTAAGTCATGAGACCAATTTTCTCATTCGGTTCCTGAGCCTTCAGATTTTAACAGCCCCTGCTCTGTCGTTTATGGGGAATGTCATAAATAGTCACTTTGTGAATCACACACACACACACAAAAAAAAAAAACTGGAGACTCTCATCACAGCTGGAGATATTCCCGGCATTCAGTTAGCAAATTTGTAGTCGACACTTGTTATAAACTATTTGTTTTTTCTCCGATACAAACAAGACAAAAGAAATTAAGTCTTCTTTGTTAACCCTGTCTTTTATAAACAAGGAGAGCTAACAAGCATAACAAATGGGATACTTCCAATTTAAGCCACAGCACAACAGAATACCACACATCTCCATTGCAGACACAGAGTCTCAAAAATGTGTTTACTAACATGTGGGTGTTTTTACTTCGCCTGGTATGGTAATAATTTGAGAATTGTATGGGAATGGTGAGATGACAGGATGAGTGGATCAAAGAGAGGGCCAGTGATCCCAAATGATCCCTACTGATCTGTTCTGATCTACACTGATCCCCCTCAGGCCTTCACAGTCCCCTATACTGGCCTGCAGGCCAGGGGCTAAACTCTGGGAATTAAAAAAAATCTACCCAACAGAAAACACAC